GGGCCCATAGAAGGTTAACCTGCGGATCTTTGTGCGAAGTAAAAATTGTTGTCTGCATCAATTCAAAACGTTTTCAGTTTCGCTTCATTTGTTCGCTAAAATGCATAAAATCCGCAGTCTAGTGATCATTTTAGAAACGACGGGTTTTGCAATCTCGGCGTCTAACTGATCGAACGTAATGCGGATTTGCAAAAATTTCGTTTGGTCAGCTTTGTCGAGAATAAGCGTAAGAGGATCGTTATAGACTGCGGATTTTACGCACTTGTGACAAAAATGAATAAGTCGAATACATCGTTGTGAAAGAATCAGACGAATTTAAGGGTACTTACTTTCAACTCGTTAAAATTATTGAAATGGGGAAGGCATTTCCACCTGACTTATGTTTCTTACAATTANACCACAATATCCCAATGTAACCTGAAAGTTACAAAACTGTATCATATACAAATAGTAGCAAAATGATTATTGAAATGCAAATAAATAAATTGTTATTGACATGCGAACCGAGAGCTATGATATACGCTTTTTTTTATTTAGTAAATACTGACAAAAGCACAAATAATCTCGATTGCACAAGATGGCCCCATTGGTTTCTACCTGCAGACAACTTGCAAGGTATTTATTTTGACATTTCAGCTTGATGGTGCTGCCAACCGTCATCGATATTGTTATTGGTTATTTCAGAGGCATTATATAATCAAGACGTATACATCATCTTGTGAAGAAAACTAAAACTATTTGGTAAAATGTGGATATATTAGCTTGTGACTTGAAAGTTACATGGGCCCATAGAAGGTTAACCTGCGGATCTTTGTGCGAAGTAAAAATTGTTGTCTGCATCAATTCAAAACGTTTTCAGTTTCGCTTCATTTGTTCGCTAAAATGCATAAAATCCGCAGTCTAGTGATCATTTTAGAAACGACGGGTTTTGCAATCTCGGCGTCTAACTGATCGAACGTAATGCGGATTTGCAAAAATTTCGTTTGGTCAGCTTTGTCGAGAATAAGCGTAAGAGGATCGTTATAGACTGCGGATTTTACGCACTTGTGACAAAAATGAATAAGTCGAATACATCGTTGTGAAAGAATCAGACGAATTTAAGGGTACTTACTTTCAACTCGTTAAAATTATTGAAATGGGGAAGGCATTTCCACCTGACTTATGTTTCTTACAATTAACTCGAACAATTTGTATTTCGCATAAAGCTTCGCGGTACGTTAATAACGCGTGAACATTTCTCGACAAGTAATTATCTAGTCGTCACCGCGTAAGAATGTAATACCAAAAGCTTCGTTTTCTCTTATATTTGTATCATTGTTAAATAAAGGTGTCATACAAAAGAGTACACCGCGTCAACGTAACATCGACCAGCTTAAGAAGAATATTTTTACCCCGAGAAGAGTATTTAGAAACATGCGCAAGTAAAACTGATCAGCAAGAGAGAGAGAGAGAGAGAGAGAGAGAGAGAGAGAGAGAGAGAGAGAGAGAGAGAGAGCTGGGCGCAATTATTGTCTACTAGCTCGAAGCTCCATTTAAGGGCAAATTGAAGATCACAAAGTCAGGTTCAAGGTTACAGTTCGGAGGAGGACCCATATGTCTTGGCAGCGTAGGGGTTAGAGCCAGGTTTAGGCCGAAGCGTTCCAAAGTGACAGAAGTTTCAGCGGCCGAAGCACCACGGGTTCTCGGAATACTTTCGGTCAAGTTTTTTCGGCCGCCGACCACCGCGCGTTATAACGGTAATTCCGCTCGGGCTGTAATTGAAAGAGAGCAGCAGCGACGCTTAATTGCGCTAGGTCGAAATCATCGAGGGAGCGACGGACGTTGCAGCAGCCCTCTTCCCGCACGGCGCTTCTTCGAAAGTCATTTGTAGCGAGAACCACCGGACCTCCCTCCCGCTCCTCCGCCCATAACTCTCGACCATGGCGGCAGCTTTTCGCTTCTAAGCTCCAATTATTCTAGCACGGGGTTGCTTAAATCGAAGATCGTCCCTCGGAAGGTCGTTTCGAGGTTTCCGACTGACATGGAGGCTGTGTTTATCCGTCAACGAGATTACGCTCCGAAGATACGGTGTTCTTAAGTCGGCGGTCTGCTGCGAACGATTTCATCGCGAAAATAAATTGGACGACTAGGTTCCGTGAAATGCTCGAGCCGGGGATGCGCCAGTCTGTTCCATAAAATATTCCCCGGTGTTTGTTCCAACTTGATAGTTCGACGCCGCGTTTCAGAATTAAAATTCGAGGCTCGCTTGGAATCGTCTTCCACGAATTCGACTAGTCGGAGAGAATGATTAGATACGAAACTACCAGACGAAGTACACGCGGAGACTCGAGAATTTCATGCGGGCAATGACGCGAGTAACACAAATTGCAATTTTCACTGGGACAGTTGATGTATTCGAGACATCAATCGGACGGTTAATACCGAGAATGTTGTAGAGAGACTGAAGAAATCTGTGACACAGAAACGACTAGGCACACGGGAGGAAAGCTTTCCGCAAATGTCAAACGATTAATAAACAAGACAACTTATTAGATACGCGGGACAAGGAACGTCGCCGATTAACGGAAAAGAGAAATGAATTCGGCAACAACTTCTGCAACAAACCGAATCCTCGACGACTCGATAGAGAATACTGCCGCAGGCGAGCCGATCGATTCCCGTATCGGAGCCGAAAAATCAGCGTTATTCTTCCGGCGATCGGATAAATCCGGATTCGTCTCGGCGCGAAGACATCCATCCGTTCGAGCGTCTCCATTGCCGCGTGTCCCGGGCGCGCACACTTCCTGAACAAACACAACGCGTCCACGAGAGCGTGTAATAACCGCAGGAAGATACAAATAAGACCGTCCCATTACACTGATGCAACGTGTTATACATTTTTCGACGGTGTATCGGGGCGGTCGCGGCCGCGGCGCGGACAATGGAGATACGTGGCCGGGGCCGCGCACAATACGCGGCGTACACCGGCGAGAGCCGGATGATAAGTGTGGGTGACGAGGCAACATCGGCGGAAAAAAGGCCCGTAGTTACACCGTAAGTATGTATCTCCTTGATGAGAACAAGGAGGAAAGGACGCGGCGCGCCGCCCTCCTATCCTTGTGCAAGCGACGAAAGACGCCGGAGAAACGGGGAGAAGAGGAAACACGCGAAACCGTCGTGGGACACCGGCGTGTATCGCAATCTCTCGGTTGTACACAGTCGAGGAGCAAATGCGACGCAGCTGGAAGTTCAAGCCGCTCTTCAAGGTGTTTACTTCGGCTGTCGCGTAATTCACGTCGGAATCGTCCGGCGAAAAAGGTATACGACGATCGAGGCGCGTCGCTCGCGTGTTCGACGTTATCGCGTGGATCTGCCTCGAAATCGAAACACCGAAGACCCTGTACGGGACCAATTAAAACAACTGTCGCGTGGGATTCTACCTTCGTGGCGCGCTTCTTTTCGCCGTAACGAGGGCTAAAACGTTGGCCGGATTTTTGCTTGCGCGTAATTCGTGAAAATTGCGGAACGACCGATTAAGATAGCATCGAGTTGAAGGCTCGCGAGCACCGGGACATGCGCCGGCCGAGCATCTTCAAGCATTCATCAAATTAGTGTCTAAGATAAGTTAATAAACCGGCATCGAATGATTCATCGCTGCCCGCCGCTACTTATCTAATCGCTCCACTTTGCGACAGTTTGCGCTTCGTTCGTCCCGATGTATGTAATCGGTATGTTAGATTTTTCCGCGGCCAGGATCGATGTACGTCTGACAGGAACGTTTGCGGCCCGGGTAATTACGGTTTATCGCGGCCCACGACGTTATCATTAAGCATCGGCGAGTAATTGCTCTGTCTCCGGCGCGACCGCGTCACGTCTAACTGGACTTTTGCCCGGGTAATTTGCTCGATCGTAGACGACGGTAGGATGTTATTACGCGTGCACACCTTCGCGTTGTTGCGTGGGCCTCGGGTGTGCATGAGAAACACCGAGCGCCGGCCGCTTCTTCCGCCCTATCGGTATTTATCGCGATCCTCTCGAACCTGATCCGATGCGCTTTCTACGTTCTAAATAACTTCCAGCCGTACAGCTTCCACATTTTATGCTAATTCGATCGGCGGACGTTTCGATTCCTCACCTACTTCTCTCCATCCTGTTTCGAATCGCTATCTTCGTAACGCGTAAGAAGCAATGGAAGTTCCCAAGTGTGCGAGTTTCCGAGCGTGCGCTCGCTTTTGAAATTGGGTTAAGTACGACGGACGATTCGCGACGAAGAACACGCGTTAATCGGTTTCGCAACAATTTGTCCGTCTCGTTGCAGCCCAAGATATCGAACGGTGGCCAAGATTTTCATCGATGTTCGATGTCCATGATTCTCGTTCGAACGAATTCTACGTAGCAATTGTCAGAGCAACAGGACGAGAAAATCGTGCATCCGCTTCTTGATTACGATAGCCTAATCGAAATCTTCGGATCCAAAGATTTGGTCCCTTCTTTCTTCGAGACCGCCTAGTTTGGGCAAGAGATCGGATTCCTCCGTGCCGCATTCGTGCTTCCGCTTCGGCCGCCGTGCCGCACGGCGCGCACCGGTGCTCGTCGACCCTTTAAATTACGACCGATGAACTATATTTTCCGGCCGAACCATTCGTCCGAGAGCAACCGAGCATAGGAGGTTTCTTGTTGCCCGCGAGAATAGAAACAAATGGAAAGAAAGAACTAAACGAGACTCGGATTACTGAAAAGTTTGAAGGCGTAAATCGGGCAACTTCTGAAACCTGTCCTCGATTCTACAGATCCAAGGACAGTATTAGCGTGGTTCTGGCAATGGATAGCCGCTTCTGCGAAGAATTTCCGGCATTATCAACTCGCGTGCACCGAAATTGCGAACACGAGTCCGATGGCGTGTAGAGCGGTGCCCGGTCCGACTCTCTCATTAGCCTCGTGACAGCGTACATGCCCGTATGAGTCGAATACGGAAGAGCGACTCGGTTGTCGCGAATAGGGCAGATAAAGCGTACACGTACCTGTATGAGGTGGGCAAGGAACAGGACGTAGGCGGCGGCCGCCCTCATGTCTTCCCTCGAGGAATCCCTCGACTACCGCATCACCATTCCCCGTGGGTCACCTGCGGTCTTCCCCAGCCACTCCAGCCAATGATTTATCAACGTCGTAGATCTGTGTACCGCTTGGTATTCCTCAATCGATCGTTGCAACACTCGTCACACTCGTATCCACGATCTCGATCGGCCAGATCCGCCCGCCGCGATCGGCACACTACACTTCTCCGACGCTGCTTCCGGTCCACGCACACACCGTATACGATCCACTTGGTCTCACGGTTCTCCACTTCGTGCGACTCGGTCAGCCGCGGTTCTCGAACCTCCCGACGACACTGTTTTACACACTGGTTTTCAACACTCCGCGCTCGGCCCCTGACGAGCGCCACACGGTCTCGTTCGAATTGTCCACGGTTAGTCGCCGCGGGTCGCCTCGCCTCGCGGTCTCGCTTTTCGAACGAAGAAGACGGGGACCAGCGGTAGCCGAGAATACAGCTCCGAGATGTTTACGCGCCGCGGCTACGCGACAGGTACCTTTCCCTCGCGCTCGATCGCGCGATATCTCGCCGCGGATCCTCTTCGTGCTCCCCCTTTCTCCCGATCGTTTCACTTCGGATCTCGGCAATTAAATGCGCCGAGGTGCGCCGCGGTTGTTTACCGCGTCCCCTCTGCTTCGAGATCCTCTAACCCACTTCGCGGGCTCTAGCTAGCACGTGGTCAAGCAATAGCTTCCACGGCAAACGCTCGAGCCACGGGTTCCACGGAGGGGTCGAAGATCAGAGTCTGTAAACTCTCGACAGTTCACTGGAAGGGTAGTTAGATCCTTTCGACGAAACAACACAAGCACAACCGTCGGGCGCAACCCCTGAAATCCAACTAGTCCCGGACGCGGTTGATCGTGGACAATTAATCCAGCGAGTGACCGTCGAGCCACGACCAACCACTTGCGCGTGGCGAGCACTGCTCAGTGCGAAATCTCGCCGAGGGCGAGAGCGTGGTATCCGCCTCTGTCTCGAATCCACCCCTGTCACATGCGCAGCACAAACGGTCGCGATAAACACGCGTTGCTAAACTGTCCGGCTTCGGGTCCCGGTGTGTCAGCGTGTCTCCTCCTCGGGGAACAGGTGTGTGGAGACGAGCACACGCGCGCAGGGCCCGCGTAGGTACGCGCGCCTTTCCGCCGTTGGTGCCGTGTGTGCGTGGTGTACGCGTGCGTGTACGGTCGCGTAAACGCGTTGGTACAGTCGGGTGCGTGTGCGTATGTGTGTTCTCGTGTGTGTTGCGCACGCTGGAGCACGGAAACACAGCACCTCCGCGGGGTACACGAGTCGGTCGCTCCGGGGATACTGAGTCGGAGCCGCAGGCCGGCCTGCGGGCCTCCCCCTCCCCCTTGCTCGACCGCACTCTCGTTCGCTCTCTCTCCCTACCCCGTGGTCTTCTTTGCTCTCTAGCCGTTCGCTCCCCCTTCCTCGCTCTCTCTCTCTCTCTCTTTCTCACTCTTTCTCTCTCCCCCCTCTCTCTCTCTCTCTCTTTTTCTGGCTCTCTCGCTCGCCAGATCGCGAAGCCCCTACCCCCGAGAGCCTCCCTTCCCGCCGTGCTTCCCCACCTTCTCCTCCGGGAGCATCAACGACTCCCACCATCAACGGGGAACACTCTTCGCCTCGACCCATGGATCCGTTCTCCTCATCGTTGCCTCTTTATACACGTTTACTTGGCCTCTCTCGTATGTCCAGCGTGCCTCTTGCTCTCCCATTCGTTCGCGTGTCTGTGTCCACGCGCACACACCGCCGCGAGAGACGGCCAAGGGGGCACACACCGGGGGCCCCGTGTGTGCCCGCGCGCGTTTCTCGTTGCAACGCCGGTGTACGATTGTGTAAAGGGGAATTGCCGGTAATGATGTGTTGGTGCACGAGGAGAGATTGTCTCCTTCTCTGTTTCACCCGAGCGCCACCACCGATGTTCGCCTTTCTAGAAGGCATTACACGATGGTACACTTGTGCCCCGCTCGGCCCGTGGATGCTGGGCCCTCGATGCTCCCTGGGTACCCGCGAGACCGCCTGTATATCTTACGATCGGTTTCATCGCGTTGTGTATTCTCACCTCGGCTCGGGCCTCTGGCTCCGATCGAGTCGTTTGCACGACACCGGGGCCAGCAACGGACCCCCACGGCACGGAGAGGCAAACGAGGGGTCGCGGGGGAGGAGGGAGAGACATTGATACGGATTTCGTGGATCGGTGGACAACGGGTTCCCATGGCGGTGTTACGTGCGCGGAAACGATCCTCTCGGAGGGCCATCGAGAGATCGAGCGTTCCCGGGGAAGCGTCCAATTTTCGTTGCCGGTGATCCGAGTCACGTAAATTCGAGTTATTAAATGTACGGTTAGGGGAAAAAAAGGACACAGGCGGGATGCGCGCACGGCGAATCCCGTGGGAGAGAGGTTCTCGGTAGGGACCAGAGGGATCGAGACGAAATTATGTATATTCCGGAAGAATGATTTCGGACGATGAATAATGGATAAGTCCTGTCGCGTGTCCACCGTCATTAACCGGCTATCGGGGCACGGTAATCAGCTCTCGCGAGAAATGCCATCGGCGCGGATCGTCATTGAATTTCTGCCCCCGTATACGACGTTCCACGTAATTCGCGTGTCGAGTTATCGCGTGAACCGAAGGGACGGCCGGTTAAACGGCGATAAATTATCGCCGGTGACCGGGACCCCCGAGTCCACCGGACTCGATTCTAGTCGCGTTCTCGTAGAGAGAGAGGTCATTCCGCGAATTGGACGCGCGCGGCGATCGGTAAGCAAGCCTGCGGGCATCCTCGCCGACGCGGCGCGCCTCGCGTCCCTCGGTATCCTCTTAGATCTCAAGGTCAACCGAGCACCGATTTCCGCGACCGGCCGAGCGAACGCTGGGACGCGCGCGCCCGCGTTACAGCCGATCAAATTCGTTTTAGCTGAGCCGGCTGTGTCCCGCAATCACCCACGGCCGATTGCAGACATCTATCTCTGCCCGGGCAAAAACGAGCGGCCATTTAACGAACCCCGCGGCGATCGAAATTAAATTTTCCCGATCCTCTCGGCAGCCCTGATCATCCACTCGTTACAACACCGAGGTCAGCCTCCCCTGAAAGAACCTGTACCGAGACGATACGCTGCGCTGCGGCGCGGCGTCTGAGAGTCGTCGCCGCGCCGCGCCGCGCCGCGCCGTTCAAGTTCTCTCTCTCTCTCTCTCTCTCTCTCTCTCTCTCTCTCTCTCTGTTCTCTGTTGAGCGGATCCGCGAGTATCGTACCCTAACGTTGCCCGTGTGGTAGCGTGGCGGTATGGTGCACTGTGGTCCACGGGACGGATGGACGCAGGGACGGACGGACAGCAGTAGTGGGATACTGCGCGGTGGATGCTGCTGCCTGGTCCATCTTTCTCGTTCCCTCGTCGTCTCCCCCGTGAGGCTCGCCGGGGTCCGAGTTCTGCTCGTCTCTTTCTACCACGGCTGGTCATCCTTCATCTTTTTCCGTCCGACTACCGCAGCCCGCTCGGCGTGTCCCGCTCCATCTCTCCTACTGTCTCCGTCTTCCACGGGGACTGGCTTACTACTCGAGGGGCCAGAGTTAGCCGGCGGGCATCATGGTGGCTACACCGCTGGCTGGCTGGCTGGCTGGCTTCTCGCGTCTCTCGAAGGCTCGCAAGAGAGTGTGCCCCCCGAGGGTCAAGGAACTCCCTCGGGAACAGGTTCACCTCCTCCTCTCCCTCCATCACGGTGCCCCTCCACCTCGCTTCCACCTTGAGCCGCCCTATGCCCCCTCCGGTTCGTACCTTAGGGTTTTACTTATTTTCTCTTATTACCGCTGCTGAGCATGTGGCCACGCTTAACGCGCTCGCGAGTGCTGGCCCCGCGCACACGCTGGCGGATCCACGGATCCACGTGCATGTACGTACACGCACCCACCAGGTACGCGTTGGTCCACCACGGAGGCCCGTCAGTCTCCCTCGGCCCCTCCGGGCCTTCCTCCGCCCGTTCCGTCCTCCTCCTCGGGCTGTTTTCTCTCCTCTTAGGAGTCCTTAGGTACTCCAATATGTGAGCACATTATTACAAGCGCAACAGAGGCTCTCCCCCAGTCGAGGGGAGAGTTCCGCGGCCAGGGCCCCCGGACCCCGGACCTGCGGGCCTCCGGGGGCCTCCGGGGGCCTCCGGGCCCGCGGAAGGGGCTGAAGCCGAAGCGAAACGCACACGCGCTTCTGGGCGGACGGAGAAAGCGCGCGAGCGTGCACGCAAGGGTGTTTAGGTGAAACCACCATCCGCACCAACCCCCTCCGTTCCACCGTGGCCCAACAATCGCCCCTCTCCGCCCTATTCTCTCCTCACTTTCCTCTCCCGATCGTTTGCCTCGCTCCCTGGCTCCGTCTCCTCTCCGGCCCGCTCCCTCGCCGCCATCTTCCTCTCTTTCTTTCTCATCGTTCTCATCGTTCTGGCTGTCCCACCGGCTCTCGCCGCGAGAGTCAGATACCAGATTCCACCTGTGCTGCCTGATATCTTGCCCGTTGCTTGCTGCCGTGCTCATCCGCCTTGTCTTCGTTGTCTCCCCTCGTGTCGTGAGATCGTTTCGAATTCGTCCAGGGAGTTCCCGGACTTTTTACGTCCCTCGGACGCGACCAAATGGGAGAAACTGTTGCGGAACGAGGATGTTCTACCGGATGATCTCTTTCAGGAATTTGATATTCCACTCGTAACCAGATAAGCGGCCCTCCCTCGCCCCTCGGCCGGACTTCTGAATCGCTTACAGAATTTTCTACTTTGCATTCGCTCGCCTCCTGCACACGGCTGCTTCTCCGGCCTTTTTCTCAAGGACGCGTGCCCGCGCGTCTTTATCGTTCCGTCGGCGCGGCATCTGCCGCATTTTCGAAAAGCGACAGCCTGGCCTGAGAATTTTCGCCACTCGAATTTCTCTTAGGCGCCGAAACGTTTCCAGCTCATTTCCATTCCGATTATTCCCGCAGGCATTATCCGCTGGCTGGCTGGTTTACCGAAAGGCCTTCGCGAAATTAAGGCGTAATGGATACGCGACGGGATACAAACCGCGCGGGCGCATACACAGAGGAGGATTTTAATGATCTTTCTTCAGGTATTCGTCGGGTAGCTATAGATACCAGAGATTCCACCTGGGCCGCTTCACGGAAATCATCCGCCGCTCGTGGCTTCTTGCCGGACGAAGAAGCTTCTGCACTTGATAGCTTGTCAAGGAATTGGTGTCCGTGAATAGGAAAGCTTTTAGGACGATGAACAACTACGACGGATAGTATCGGGAAGTGGATGAACGGTGTACAACGATATGGCTGTAGGCGGCTCATGGTTCGGAAGCAACGATAAATGTCTATGGAGCATTGACGAAGACGAATGGAATCGACGAAAATTCTTGCGCCGCTATTTTCGCCCTGTTCGGTAACCACTTTGGCCATTCCTGCCAGGCGTTGGCCTGGCCAACATTGACCTCGTCACCCGTGGCAACACAGGCAACTTTCTACTCTTGGTAGCTGCCCCAAATTTTTTCGGCTATTTCTCGTCCTGCTATCTAAATTGGCTAAAGTGCCGTAACAAGATGCGCTCCATCTTGTGGTTATTATTATTATCGTTATTACATGAACATCCGTGTTCTTTGAAACAGCATGTGTCTATAGAAACTTCTCTCTCTCTCTCTCTCTCTCTCTCTCGTTAACCTAAAAGCCACTCTCTGCTCGATGAAAAATTTACTTTGTCACGTCTCCCGGGTCATAAGAAAATACAACGACTTGCGAGGAAGGCAGACGACGTGTTCCGAAGCGAGGAAAGTTAAGAAGAAGGATCTCTCCGATCGCGGAGCGGCTGCTTTGCATGCATATCACGAAACTGGCGAGGAGGGACTCGGTCCCCCCGGTTCCGTTAACCGCGAATACACGTCAGATGTCCTTTTGACACGGCACGCTAATTGCTCCGCTGAAATCGCGTGCCCGTTACGCAAACCCGCGAATTAAAAACCGCATTCCGTGCCATTGCTCGCCTCGTCCTTAAACCGTGCCGACTCTCGCTGAATATATATATAAAACCGCGGGCACATTAGCATCGCCGTGGACGAACGGAATCGGACTGTCCTCCCGCGTGCCGTAAATTCGATGCAATCTCAGCAACGAGGGAAAAAACGTTGTCCGCGTTACTACCGATTGTTCGAACAAAAACAAAAACTCGTCGAGCGCCATCCGATTAATTTGCACAATCGATTCGCCGTATATGAGAGGCGCGAAGAAGATTCCTCGTGTGTGCGCGCGCGCCGTGGCGACGATTCGTTAACCTCTAATAACACGTTCACCATTCCCCGAACGAACGCGCCAGGGTAAA